TCGTGATATTTCCCGCGCCTGTCTCCAGTGATCCATCAACCCAAGTGCGCTACGATCACGATGTCGAGTTTTTACAGCTTCTATTTGACAGACCCCACAAAGCTGGTGAGGACTCGGTAAAAGTGAGGCAAATTACCCGTCTTGGAAAGCAAGATGATCAACGAAATCGGCCTATGAGAATCACTTTTGTGGATGAAGCCAGTCCAAGACTGATCATGTCTCGCCTAAGTAGGCTGAAAGCTTTGAAGATCCATTTTCGTCCAGTCCTGGACCCAGTAGAGAGGGAGCGGCTCAAGTCTGCCATTATTGAGCTGAAAAGACGTACTGGTGAGGGGGAAACAAATCTTCGTATCGTAAATTTTCGGGTGGTTTCCAACAATCTGCGAATCAGGATAAACAGGCTACTCACACTTCAAGCACGCCCGGCGGCTGCTGCTGCGGCCTGCGAGTAGCCTACACAAACGTTTGTAGTGTTATGAATAAGTACGATAAGCTTTATTGTTTCCATGCTTTTGAGTGGCCATACGTAGTGGGACTCGCAGCGACATGGCTGCAAGCAGATTTATACACCCAACAACTTGAACGCAACGGCTACTCGTGTTCGATGCGATAGACTGAAGAATGCCCACGGTGGCGTCTTACTTTACATCCGGTCTTCCCTGCGTGGGAGACTTATGAGCACCTACCGAAGTGACGATGGTTTGTGTGAGCTGCTGTTGTGCTCCATCCGCCTCAAACGCGCAGAACTACTTGTGGACGCAGTTTGTTTCACCTCCTGATTCGTTGTTTGGATTGGCTGCCCATTCTTCGAACCCACATGAGTTGTCCAAAATTTCTACTTATTGACGATTTTAACTGTCCTCGAAAATGATGGCCTGATGTACATGTGATACTTGGACATAGTGAGGGTGAAGCAAAGTTCGTGCATTTGGTACTTGAAACTGGTGCATCGCAACATATATGCCAGCCAACACGCATAAAAACACGCTCAACTCCCTCCTGTCTCGACCTGATGTTAACTAGCTACGAACAACGAGTGCGTGACGTTAGGATCTTGGAGCCCCTGGCTACAAGCGACCATTCATTGCTCATAGTTGATGTGGAATTCTTTTTGCCGTATTCACGACTGCTAGAACCAGCTCCCAACTACTGGAAAATGGACTTCGATAGTCTAGCTCGAACCGCGAGCCAACTGGATTGGTCTCTGACACAAGCTGCATCTGTGGAAGACTGTTGGATAGTTACAATGAAAGGTTGACATCATTGTTTTCCCAATTCGTGCCATTGAAATGCCGTAAGGTTGGACCGATTAAGCCTCATTGGTTTGACAAGGAGTATGGAAACCAGGCTCGGAGGCGGCGCAGACTGTGAGACAACTTCCCCCTCTCTGCCTCTGCCAAAGATTACAAACGGTATAAATATCAGCGGAACACCTGCAACAGTGCAAAAAACATAACCGCCGACACTTCGAATAGCAGCTCGCAGTAGCCCAGAAGACCGCCCCAAAAAGAATCTTTGCATATGTGAAGCGACGCCTGAATCCGGCAAGTGATTTGCCAGTGCTAGATGGCCCGGATGGACAGCCCCAAACCTCCAGCACTGAGCGTGCGTCCGCGTTGGCGGCCTACTTTGCTCCTGTATTTGCGAATGAGTAGGTGTCTGTTCCGAGTTCGACGTGAACCGCTTTTACCGAATTCGATAGTCTGCATTGCGCCGTTAAAGAGGTAGGTCAACTACTTGCCAACCTTGACGGCGTTAAACCTGCCGGACCTGGTGGACTTCATCCACTGGTTCTCAAGTCACTTTCGACCATCATCTCTCCTGTCGTGAATGACGTTTTGAACAGGGTGCTGTCCGAAGGTTCGTTGCTGTTTGACTACAAATGTTCGGTGGTGAAGCCTATTCCGTAAGACGGCGACCCTTGCAAATTAGACAACTACAGGCCAATTTGTCTGACAATTATTTTGGCAAAGGTTGCCGCGAAAATCGTGAAGAAGGGATTGCTGCAGTTGCTACAGTCATACGAGGTCCCGACGCCCGCACAGCATGGATTTATGATAGGCCGCTCATTCACTATGAACCCGCTTGTGACGAGGCATGTGTGATTGAAAGCAAAAAGCAAGGGGAAGTCTGTCGATGTGATATTCATCGATTTCAGTAAGGCGTTCGACAAGGTCAGCCATGAGGTTCTCCTTCACAAACTCAGAATGTGTGGTGTCGGTGACTAACTGCATCAGTGGATCTGCGACTTTCTTGTTGGACGAAAGTGGAGGGTACAGGTCGATGACCATCTAACTGACTGGTACCCCTCTACAAGTGGTGTATCCCAAGTCACTGTGCTGGGGCCCACTCTGCTCCTGACGTACATCAACGATCTACCGCAGCTTCTCCGGTCGCCGTGTGCCTTGTTTTCGAACGACATGAAGGTTTGGAGAGAGATATTGACGCTCCCGATGACTGTGGTCTACTTCAGCTAAACGTCAAGCGCCTATCCACATGGTCTGTAGAAGTTCTTCTCCCGGTCAACCCAGCCAAGTCTGTATTTATGAGCCTAGGATTGGGTACTGACGGCGGAACCTACACCCTTGGCGGCCAACATCTATATTTTACACCCTCCGTGAAGGACCTAGGTGTACTCTCACGCTACGATTTGAAGTCCGTGGGCAACACGAACCGGCTATATCGTAACGGACTGCGCATGCTTTGGGCGCTCAGACCTTGCATCGGCGGATGGTCTGAAGAGTTTGTCACTCGCCTCTTCTCTTCTATCATTAGACCAAAGCTAGAGTACGGTTCGCCTGCCTACTTTCCGATTACCCGAGACCAGGTAAAAAAGATCAAATGGGCCCAACACGTTGCTACCAGGCTCATCCCGAGTTTACTTGGCTTGGGGTATGAAAACCGGTGCGAGAAACTAGGACCCTACACCTTGTCCTACCTCCGGGTGCGAGTCGACCTCATTATGACCTACCGTATTCTACATCTCCGTGACTTCCCAATTCGAAAGCCAATGCTGCACTTACGAGGGCCCTGCAGCACACGCGGACACAGATACAAACTTGTCGTACCCGATGTGAAACGTGTTCCCCACCCACTGTGCTTCGAACGGAGAGTGGTAAACATTTGGTACAGTTTACCTGAAGATGTGATGGAGGCTACATCTGTGCAGCAGTTCAAAACGTTGTTAGATTCATATTTTACCAGTATTCGATTCAGAGAACGATTGTACACTTACGATGACATATCACATTTGTGAGTCCTCCAATATCGTGAGTCAGATATTTTAAATATTACAGGAGAACGACAACGATATTCACGACTGACATCTTTCCCAACTTTTATCACCATGGTTCGAAAGAGTTGCATAGAAATCATTTCTACTTGCTCTATATTACGGTATTCACTTGACAGGAAAGTTGAACAAAATGAGTTATTATCAAGAACAGACTGCAGTAGGGTAAACAATACCACTGTGACCTACGTCAAATGCCAATTGTCTTTGTCGTTGAAGTAACATTCAGGTGGCAATGAATACACCCACTTTAATTTCTCATATAATCCCCCTTCCACTTCTAAGAGAAGATAAACTTACAGTCGACCAACTTGGAGTAAACAACAACGCAGTATTCGGACACTTTTACTGCTTAAGTGTCTAGTTAAATGGTGAGAATATATTTCCTTCGAACTTTTACATCGTCGAGATTGTATAAACTTACGACTCTCTCACACATTAATCGGTTAGCTAAGCTGTCGCACAGTAAGTGCTAACTGTGTACATATCTCATCTGCAATCACGTGACCATCAACAGAGTTTACTTCAGGCTAGAGAATTGGAGAACTTGAATTTACATATGACTGTTTTAGTTCGGAACTATGACACGGTTTGTATCTACGCCAGTTTGACTCTGACACCATGCAATCTCTTCCTATTCTGATGTTATATATATATATATATATATGTATTCTACGGCTTACTATATTTGTTACTCTGTCCTCACACTTTACATTCCGATAGAATCTTTACTTTTGTGGACTCTCATACTAGATGTATTCCGTGAGTGGGTTTTCTGTCCACCTTGGCTGGTGTCACTCAAATTTTTGAGTGTGTGGTCACAAAAGGTGCAACATGAGATTGTCGACAAATCTCAGTGTTTTCTCCCCATCCAACAAAATGTTAATCCCAAACCTTCACAGGAGAGCTAAACAGTGATAAATGAAACGCTGGGAGCAATTTATTACAATATACTGCAACAAGCATCCATAGTTCTGGAGGCTAGGTTCTCAATATGCCATGGTCTCTTCCAACCGGTATCGAAGCTCCACGGTAATCTGTTTATTCAAACGCACAAGCAGACACAAGGACTGGTGTATAAGAATCTAATTATCCTTCTAAATTTCAGTTAGGTACTTTCAGATATCCAAATATCGTCTTGACATTTAACGAAAACCACTGATAATTCCTTTACTAGCTCCCAAGCCCCGTGAGTCAATGCCTACTTCCAAAACCATGTAAATAAGTACAAAAGTACGTACTGTAAATCCAGTCAAAGTTTCCTCTAACCATTATTCTCAGACTATTGAAATGGCATGACGGTATTTTAAGGACCTATATGATATCATGGTTGTGAAAGTAGGGCAGATTTTTCTGCGAGTATTCACTTGGATGTACGGATTAGCACTCGGGAATGTTTCAACTATAATACATCATGTGAGCAATCAACAAACCAACAATGAGAAAGAAAGATATAACTGGTGTGAGGCAATGGCTTCATAGGTTGCATTTCGGCTTCTTTAATTTTCACTCAAAAATAAAAGGAAATGAGCGAGTACGAACTTCAAATGATTAAGGTATTGCTGCGCGAACAGCGCGGCTCTTTTTCCCGAAGTGCATGTAGATGAATCAGTGGAAATACATACTGCTTTTTCATTGAACTCATTAGCAATACTAAATTGAAATACGTGTAGTGGCCCACGATAACTGCAGTACATTCGGAACTCACTTCGGAAAGATTTACTGGAATTCACACTAAGCCATTCTCCGACTAATTGGGTAGATTGTGAGCGATTGTGGAAGGATAAATGCATATTATCTGATAGATTTAGTCGCGTTAATGCATGAGGTGACAATTTGATTTTCCGTCGGTCGGCTTTGGACAACTTAGATACAACAATGTGTCCATTATGAAATAATGGTAAACAGATTAAGATTAGCATCCACAGTTTTCTGCGCATTTGTGCCAAAAAATTCAGCCGATGCAGTCGTACCTTCCGTCTGTCCGTGACTTTAAGCGCGGCTCAAGCTGACCAGTAGCCCAGCAAACATATCGGTGACAGCCAATCGGCGTGTGAGCTATCAATAAGTGGTTTATGATACACTTGTAAGATGAACTAGCAAGAAGACGAGTGCACACAGTAGCATATAAAAATACCCACTATAGTACTTAAAGTGATTGAACGGTAGCAAGATAAGAGATGCTAACATGCCTTGCTACTGCGTAAAGGCCGACTTTCATGGAGCTGAAGCGATTTGTCTAAATGGGTTATTTGGGACTTTCCAACGCAATGCGAACGATTAGCAAAATGCGGTAACGCAACTTTAACGTCGATAAAAGTGTGCGGTGCAATGAATTCGCGCAACGAGTAACACATACTCTGAATCTTATGAAACGAAACAGATTAGCTGCCAGTCTTGCACTAGACATATATTTGCTGCTGTATGCCTCTATTATTATAAGTACCAAATAAAACCGAAAAGTGTTGGTGTATTACTTACCGGTTAAATTCGAGGCTGCCTTATATACAGACTACCGGTTTAGTTACAATCATAGTTCTATTTTCATTTAATTGCACGTGTGGTTTAAGTTGTTTTGGGCACGCCATCCTACGCCTGTTCATACGGATAGTAGAACACTGTCCGAAAACCCTCTGAAGAGGAACGGTTAGAAATCATATAGTGATATCATAGAGCAACTATCTCAAAGTAAATAAATAACTAAATAGTATGTTCATGAGGTACGCCTCAACATGCATGTTTATAGTATTATCGACACGAACGATTGGCAAATGTGCAATATTTTTTGCTCGGTTAGCAGTATTATACTGGATCTATTTGGTGTTCATCTTGTTACATCTTGGTATGAAATATTTTAACTCTGTTGTTTAAACTTGCACCCGCAACGCCGCAGTCGTGATTATGTTCGGTTTGGCTGTCTGCTTGAGAAGGCGGGAAAGGCAGTCTTCAGACTAGATGACTGGCGTCCGTCAAGTGAGTAGGAGCATGTGAAAGAACAATTGGCAGTGAATTTATTAAGTGTAGTTAAACAGACATTTGTGGCTTTTATAGAGAAAACACTTAAAAGGTTTAAACCCACCACTTCCTGAAGCACTGCCGCCAAAACAAACAGAGGGCAACATGAGTAGGTTGTTCGGTGAGCCAGCGATTGTAATTTTGTAACATTTTGCGCAAGTCAGTCTGAAGTAAGGCTTACCTTAATTATTTCCCGCCAAAGTATCGGCTAGCTATGAGATACGGACAGAAGATTCATTCGGTATCTCCTATGCCCAATCAAATAAGTATACAATTGGGGTTAGAAAACGTATCTTAAGGACGGTTGAGGTGATTGTAATCAAAGTGATACAGCCAACATTTTGCAAGCAGTGGGCTCTTCTCCAAGCTGTCCAATTGTCATGGCCGGGTTGCATCGGACGCTGAAAGCAAACTAGGATGATCTTGATCCCACTGGCTGTCACGAGACTTGCCTTTAGTGGATCCAGCTCGGCACTGATTGCGTTAAGCAGCTTTGTTCAAAACACTTACTTTACTAAGAGTAGAACTGCTTCCACTAGCTACTTAGTTGATTTACACTTTCCTGTAAATGTACTGCCTGAAAAGAGTTATCCAAAAGGGAGCGCCTCTTTGCAACTTGGATTGTTTGTTTTATCATGGGCATAATTTACTAGTTGGAATTATTGGTCCTATCCTTAGTAGAATTGAGATGCTAATTCTGAGCATCCATCGTGATGTGTCCGAAAACCCTTATTACTACGTATTGGACGGAATTGGTTCCGTGAATAGTTTTTCTAAAGAAAGATTTCTGAAATTTTTCAAGGACCAGTTTCAGAAACCAATTATATGTTTGCCCAGAGAAAATGTTATCGACACCCAAATTTAATAGATCATAGCAGAACACAAAATTTATATGTGGTGACCAACTACATTAACTCAGTAAGTTGTACATAAATGCCAAACTCTGTTGTCTGCAGAAAAGATGTCATCAGCTGACGGAAACAGTCTACACAAGTTTGGAGAATCAAAAAGCTGGGCGTTTTTCAAGAACGCTGCATTGCCGAAGAGTAACCTATTGACGTGCTAAAAGATGCCAGCTTCTATGAAGAGAAATAATTTTGTCCAGTGACTGAAATATTAAACCTTTCCACTGCAGCTTCTTATGTGAAAATCTCGTTCCGCTATTTGCATTCAATGTGCTACTCATCTAACAATCCAATTCGCCGGTCTTCGCATGAGTCATTCAACAGAGTATAAATTCATCACCATTGGACAGCAATCGGTCACGTGTTTAGCACTAGGTAGGGATATCTATACCACTGGACTTACTTGAAGAAAACCAAATAATGCTTCACTATAACTCAGAACCGAGTTTGTTACGTAAAAAAGCAATCATGTTAAAGTTTCATGCTCTGGAATCAAAAATCGTCTACTGGGAACAAATGTCATATACAAGTAGTGGATATCTTTCTACATTGCATATGCCTTGGGAACCTCGCAAGTAAATGGACAATCTGTCCCTTGTATGCTCTGTCATCATGAATGCAATTACGACATATGTATTCCCGGAATATCGATCTAAGCCAGCCAGTTGATAAACCATACCTCCGATAGCAACATCTGCGCCATTGGTCTGTTGGCTGCTTTTGGAGAATCTATAGGTAATTAGGATTACCAACGCGTTTCCATGTATACCTATATGCGCATAACGGCAGTTGGTATGCATCATGCTATCACGGTTCACTTCACCAATGATCCATGAGATTTGGGTTTGCTTTGTGATTAACTAACTTCAATGCTACTATAATCCAAAAATACTTTGGATAATATGGTCTGGTGCATTCAATCCTGGTAAGCGGACCAGCGATTAGATTCATGCGAATTTCACGGATCATAAAGCCCTTTAACCGAGAAGAACTGAACCGTGTGCTGGTCAATGCATCGGGTACAGATTGGAGGCCAGACTCTGTCCCCTTTAGATGAAACACAGCTAAATGTAGGTAGACACTTAATGAAGTTAACAATGGCTGGTTCTATTCAACATGATCACATTCGATCGACCGTAGATCACGGTAAAGATTGAATGACTGGTAAAGTTGAAACCGATTCTTCTCTTAGTTATCTTCAAAGTTCTGTCACAAGCAAATGTGTGCTCGTAGCATACATAGAAAACCTCGAGTTTTATCAGCTCATGTTAGGCATTAGACAGTGAAATTTGTCCAAAAAATATCACTTTTTGAGCAATGTTTACGTATTAAAGTAGGGAACATAAATGAATTAGCGTTTGTTAAAATGATTTAAAACTAGGATCATTTTTCTGCTTCTGCTAACTTAGCCAACAATTTCCCCTAAAGATGCGTAGATATCTGATTGCACTTGATTAAGTTGATACCAAGTACCTAAAAAGCTCGCAGTAATCGACTAAAAAACAGCAACTGGGTGATGTAGGCTCTAAATAGCTGCAAGCGTACTTTACGTTTTGTAACGGTGAATTATTTGAGGTTACCTATATACTAACAATCAAGCAAACTTTACTGAACGAACTCACAGAAACAGACTATAGTTACAGTCCCATTGAGCTAAAACTATCCGATAAAAAGTGACTGCCAGAGGATTAAACAAAAGGTCACACTTCACGTTGTCCATCAGACCCAATCCTTGCACACGATTTCAACTACTGGGGATATAAAGTCTTCATATAAAGTCGTAATTGCTACTAAGTGGTGCAGAAACAGCCTACAAGCTCTCGTAACTAAACAACTTTGGTGCCTACAAACTATACATATAACACCCGATGTATACTCAACTTAGTCAGCGTTTTGATTCGTTCTTCGATCGGAGCAATTTAATGGTAGACGTTTCACGACTTTGCTCAGTGGTATTTCAGTGCACTGCTGCGTAGTGGAAGATCTCACGGAAAGTGTCATCTCCACCAACCCGAACTACAGGTATTCCGAATCATTGCACTCAACTTAGTTACATAGTTAACTTCATTTCCTGCGGTAAAAGTCCTTAGAATTATCTTATATTCTCAGAGGACAACGCTGTCAACATTTTGGCAACGGGATGGCTGGTCCCAAATGTTTTCTCTAAAGAACCGTAATACAATTTAATCTTACTACAGACCAAGTTGACAATATTTAATAGATGTTTTAGAAGATATAAGCTGATGAAATGTATTAAATAAGTTTTATGATAGTCTTTTTCAGTGGGGACCGACTGCACTTGTCTGTACAACAGTATTACAGCAAAAGTAAGCCTGATTCATTGAATTGGACAATGTCGTGCCAAATGTTCGTAGTTTGTGATTCCTGTTTCAACTCCTCGAACTTGAGTCTGCTTAACACCGGAGGTCTAGCCTAAGTTCTCGGACCTTAGGGGCTGAAAGTTTATGAATTCCACTGAATAAAATTCGACTATTTCTCATGCTCATCATATGGATGCGATTTTGTGAACCATCACAAAGAAGTGGCACATGCCGCTTATTCTTGCGTGACCTTTCTTACAATCATCTGGGCACAATAGAAATGGGAGACAAAGTAATGGCATGCAAATTCATTAGACTTCAGACAACCGAAGAGTTGAAATATAACTTAATGTAAATGCAAATTTTTCATCTAAAAGACATGGGAGCAATATTTCACCACTGTCAGAACAATACGGCGACAATTGCTGCAATTACCAATTGTGCCCTACCTAGAGACGTGGTCGCTTTTGGGTTTAAGACAGTTCCTTCAGTAATTAACTGACATAATCTTACACAGAGAGTTAATATACCGCCGGCGTTTCAAAAGAACATGCAGTTCATTTCGGCCTCAATGTGCACAGGTAATCTAATGCAAGAGTGATCACATGGATGTAAATTACTTACGAGGTCACCAACTTTCTCCTGAGTGTCAAGATGCTGCTACATGGAGGAGCGATTAAATAAGACCACTTTTAATAA